ATATTTTCATTGTCAAAATAGACAGTGATTAGAATCCATATGATTTTTACTAAAATGTGATATGGAAAATATAGTTATACCCCTTTTATTGAGGAATTACTCATGCACAATATGTATATATTTACGTTATCTGTAACTTTCTGTTGTTGAATATATTCCTGGATATGTATTTAATTTAGTTCTGTGATTTTTGAGGTTAGTTGAAAGAGTAATTGATTAGTTACATTCTCTGGATTGATATAATGGCGGTCCATAAAAACATAATCCCTGAAGTCCCATTTTTGCAAATAACGAAAGTAATTATAATGTCTTTTCATTGCAATATGAGAAGCAGCAGAGGTAAAGGTTGTATAGAAATTTTGATCATGATACCATCTGTGAAAGCATTTTATTTAGCAGTGTTACGATAGATACTGAGGGGTTGGCTGCCACTATCTGTGTTTTTCTATGCTGTTATAAAGAGAGTCCTCATTTGTATTGAAAAGATAAATTCCAGTTAGAGAACAGCACATGTTATCATTTGTTTTTTCATGTTAGTGAGTATAGTTATTGTCTTTTCCATCTTCTTTTTAATATCAATTTAGTGAGTGTGTGCGTTTGAACCATTTTTTTCATTACGCAATGAAACTCATAGATATCACTCAAAACCATTTTAGGGCTAACTTTATTAAAGATTTTTTCTCTTAGATGTCTTTAGCATAGAGATTAATTCATGAAGATTTGGTGCTGCTTTGAGGGCAAATTCACCCTTTTGACTTCTCTTCCAGATTGAATTCACTGCCATGCGAGATCAGTACATGCGGTGTGGTGAAGGCTTCTTGATCTGCTACTCTCTGACTGACCGTCGAAGTTTTGAAGAGGTGGCTGAACATACTGTTTCTATTATATATGTTTTTTTTGTATATAGAGGGATGTATTGGGTTATATCTCTATTGGTATTGTTGTGTGTATGTGTGGGTGATGTTTTTTTTTTGTATAATATGATTTGTATTTTTGCTTTTAAAGTATTGTGCGCTTGTTTATTTTCAGATCAATCTATTTACCCTATATTTGTTGTGTATGTTATTTTTTTGTTTTTATTTGTTTTTTTTTAGGTAGCAATATTATGGTTGGATATTTTGGATGTATTACTAGTGCTTATAACTAGGTTTTAAGGTTTTATTTTTTATACGTATTGTATGCGCTATGAGTTTTTAGCTACTTTTTAATAATGGAATAAATAGCTGTTATGGCTATTTTTTATTTAAGTTTTAATGATTGTAAAGTAATTATTAGGTGATAAAATATTTTAGTTAACCTATTTTTTTCCTATATTTAATATTTAATTAAGTCGTATAAATGTAAGGTCAGTTTATTGATGTGATATAAGCCAAGCTATAGAATCTGTATATTATATTAGAAGAGTAATTTTCAAATTTTTATGTTATTTTTTTCTTGTACATTTTAGTATTATATTCCTAGGATCTTCATTAGATACTGATAAGTATATGTGGCATGTCCCTTGCATGCATGGGTGTGTGTGTCTGTCCGTGTCATTTGTTGCTGTTGTCTTTGCGGTTGTCTATTCTTTTACTGAAAACATAGTCTTTGCTTTTGAGGCAATATGTCGATGATGCATTTCACATGCTTGTAAACGGTGTAATATTGCGTGTTCGCAATTGATGCAAGAAGGAAGCGCTGGTAGGCGAGTTATGCAGGGTCGGTTAGCTGCGTGTCTCTCTTGCCTCTGTTTTTCTTTGGGGTTATCCCGTGGGTGAGAACTATGTATATGATTATTATTTTTTTCATTTATTATATAATCTTTTATGTTTATTTCGTATTCCTGTGGATTTTATTTTTTTTCCTGTGCGACCTCATTTCTTTGGTATAATTTTTTATGATTAATAATGACAAATATCTTAGTTATTTGTCTACTACTTTAAACATAGGATCTGATTTGCTTATTTTTAAAGTATAGTACTTAGCAGGATATAATTAGGGTATATACATATTGTCGGGTTTACTTTATTACTTTTCACTTAAGTGTCTTGTGAGAGTTAATTGACCTTAGTGCTCATATATATAGAAATTATTCTATGAGAGTAAGTTTAATGATGAGATACTTTTTTTAGGGGCTAGCATAGAGAATCTAGGGAGGAATATACTTTGACCGTTAATTACATTTTTTCAAGTTTCTCTAATTTCTAGTTTTATTTCTATATTAACTATTTTTATTTTGCTGTGTTGGTATTTTGCTTCATTTTTTTGCCTATAATTTATTTGTAGTCTTGTTAGTGAGTTTTCTTTAATATTTTCTACTGTATCTAACATAATAAATAGAGTAATTAACTATAATAGTATATGAATATAATATTACTAAATGATTGTTTGTCTATCTATCGTATTGATTGTCCTAGTGGGTTCATCGGGAGAAGGGACATGTGTTGTGTGATTGTGGATGTGTGTGTGTGTGTTGTGTGTGTTGGTTGTGTGTGGTTGATGCTGTTTGGTGTTGTTGTTATGTTGTGGTGTGTGGTGTAAGTAATGATTTATTATACTGATAGGATGTTATAATATTCTTCTTAGATAAAGGTCTGTTATTTTTAGATAAGTATAGGGTTTAATAATATTCTTTATTTCTTTTTTTGATCATATTTTATATTAATATAGAATTGTTTATTAGTATATATTTTTTTTTAATCTTCATCACCTACTTATCTCTTACTTCTGTATGGTATTAGTATGTCCAAATGAAATATGGAAGTAACGATATGTATACATAACATTATTTAAGTATTCTTATTTAGATTATTGTATTTTATTGTAGCATTATTAATATTTGATGATGTTTATATATATGTAACATTTTTGTTTATTTGACGTGTCAAAATATTAATGTTAGTTATTGTTAGTATAATGGAGATGTGATTTTTTATTATCTTTTTCATTTTAGGATATTTATTATTTTTTTTGTTTTTTTTTTTTTATATTTTCTCTCTTTTAAATTTTTTCTCATATATTTTTCTTTAGGTAATATTTCATATTGGTGTGGTGTTGGTTGTCGTGTGTGTTGTGTGTAGGATGTGTTGGTAGTTTCGTGCTGTTGATTTGTGTGGTGAAATGAATGTAGAGTGATTGAGATGTGGTTGTTTGTCAGTGTTGTGACGTCATTTTACTTCTCAGATTCTAGATCACAGGAGATATATTATCAGTATAGTTAGATTTCTTCTTTAATTCATTTTTCCAAGTTTTTAAAAAAACAAGACTTTATTTTGAAGTGAGTTCAAGTGATATTGCTTGTCTTTTTTACACATCTGTATATATGCTACTAATAGGTCCTTATATCAAGGTGATATTGTATCATATATATGATATCCTTATTGTTTCTTATGTTTGGTTTGCTGTTAATTGCCATGTTGGTTATTGTATTATTATATTATATTTAAGTAAATATGAGGATTTACTATAGTCTGCTCTGGTTTGATTGGCTTCCTGTTGTTTTTAAATATATGTATCATTATCACTTTATACTATTGGTATCCTGTGATTTGTTAGTTATAGTTTTTTATGCTGTAATTTATAAGTCATATTTTTTATCTTTTTTTTATTTTTTCACGCTTTATTTTATTTTTTGTTGATCTGACGTATTTATATTGTTTTACATTTAAACATATTTTTTATTATTTTTTTTTTTTTTTATTGTTATTTTTATCGTTAAGTATTTTCATTTATTTTTTTCACTTTAGCAGATAATATATTTTTATACTAAACTATACTTCATTACTCACTCTTCTTCTTATGTTATGATATCACAAATGGGTTGGTTAGAGTTAACTATGTTTCTTTCTTCTTTATGGTAATTTTCTTTTTAATTTTTTCTTATCAAGCGTTAGTTATTTCACTTGGTATTGATTATGATCTTTCTATTCTATACGTTCTTGCTCACATCTTTCAAGTAATTTGGGGCTAAATGTGGTGATCGTGGTACAGTTGTGTTGGTGACCTGCAGCGGTAGCTTATGGCCCTCCGTCTCGTCTCCGGGTGTTGTGTAAAGTAGTGTATGTATGTTTGATGGTGTTGGTGAGATGATAATGGATGGTGTGTTGTGTTGGTTGGTTGTGGCTGTGATAGTTGTGTAGTAGTTGTATGTTCGTGGTGTGTGGTGTGGTGTGTGTGTGTGTATGGTGTGTTGGTCGTGTTGTGTGTGTCATTGTTTGTTGTGATGTGTGCTGTGGGGTTGGCTGTAGTGTGAAGATGTATGTATCGTCGTGAGGTATGGTATGATGTGGTTCGTGTTGTGTGGTGGTGGTACTGGTTAGATGGGTGTGTGTTATTGCTATCTTGTCTATTTGCGACTTTTTTTTAATTATTATTCATTATTTTGTTTTAGTATATATTTGTTATCTTATGTTAGATTTTTTTCACTTATTTATTTTTTATCATGTATCTTATTTATTAGTCTAAAAAGATAGTTTTGCTTTATCTCAGCTTTTGTTTATTTACTTTAGTTTTTTATTATTTTAAATATATAATATTTAGCTTAATTTTCTCAGTTTAGGATATAATAGTATATTTCCTAAGCTATATTTATGCTTAGTATTATTGTAAGATGTTTATATACTTATGGTTTTGTGTTGTGGTAGTGGATGATTGTAGGGTAGTGGTGTGTGTCTTGTTGTTGATTGTGTGTAGTACGTATGCTGTTTTGTGTGGCTGTGTGATATAGCACACTACTCTCTTCTTGCTCTAACATAACATCGTATTTTTGCCTTTGAGGATCTTGGTGAGAGGAAATTAATGATTGTTTTAGTTGATCTATATCTTTATGGTGATTATGACTTTCTGATATGTATTATATTGTTATTTCAGACATGTATTAAGGTAGAAAAATGTTATATAAGAAGGTATATATGTGATATTTCTAGGGAAATATGAGATTTGTAGATGTTATTGAGATTTGAAAATTTAGTTATTTCTTCTTATACTTCAGGATAAGTGAATAAGATCAGAGTGAACCTAGAATGAAATATAATAACTGGAATATATATATATATTCTTATATCATTTATGCATGTAAGAAAGGAAAAGGATTCATTTTGCTTGTCTCATAAGTACTTGCCCCCTCGGTGGTGGTAGACTGCACAAAATACTTTTGTTCGCACAAGATTGGTTGTATAATCATTGAAAATAAACCTGGTTATGTCAAAGTTTATTAGGAAGTGATGCTAGTCATATAGAAGGGACAAAAAGAGATGCAGAAAGGGTTACATATATATTTATTGTATATATATAAAAAAAAGCCTTTTATTGGAAATATACTCAAAATATTGAGGATTGTACTAGTGTCAGTCTTTTTTAATTGATTATTTTTTTTTTTTTCTTTTTTGTTTTTTAGTATATGTAGAAATTGTGAGGTATGCTTTGCAAGGCATATTTTATCTCATTCACCTACCCATTTAAGGCAGCATTAAGAGTCCTTGCATTATATGTTATGTTGAAGCATTGAGAGTTCCGAGCGCTCAGTTCTGCATTTTGTCCTTGGTGTCACTCCCACGTTGGCATTAGGGAGTTGGTTCACGTTGATTCTCAGCACTTTGGATATGGTCTTTGATTGTATCTTTGAGGGAAGCAATACCCTGTAATGCTGCAGTGTTAACAAATCTACAAGGAATGATATTATTGTAATAGGTGGGATCATTTCAGGTAGGAGCTACCGCTACATACTTGAATGTTCTTTGGGTTTTGTTTGGTTTCAGCGAGGGTTAGCACACTTTTAGGGGTCTGTGAGAGATCAGTTGGGCGATTTATTTTTAGGTTACGGTACAAATTAGAGTGAACAAGGTACCACTTCTTCAAAGTTTTTCTTGAGTCCATACTTAGAGAACTTTAATGGTACCATAGAAGTCTTGAGTGGGTTGATAAACTTTTTATTAAAAACAATCCTCACGTGACAGGTAGTCATTGAGTTTATTGGTCTCGTTCACTTACTCATATTTTGAGAAAACATTGAAAAAAATTCTTTTTTATTAGGGAGACATATTCTGCACAGATATAGACTAATTGAATATTTTTTAGCACTTTGAATTGGTATTGAAATGATTTGTTGTATGGCCATTACAGATGCTACTGATCTCAAAGTTCTACTAATGTTTCAAGAAAACAGCCCATGAACTTCTTTCAAATTTTAAGACAAACCTGTACAAACGAGTGGTAGTAGAAAATGTTAGATACAGATTTCTAAGTGCTTATCAGCAATAATATAGGGAATGTGGAGAGGAGATGTGATTTTTAGCATAAAAGAATGGCGGTGGCTCCCTTTGATAATAGGGCGGAATCCTGTCCTACAGATGTGCACACATGGGAGATTTTTTTAAGGTCTTATGCACAGGTCATAGGCACACAAGCTACTTCTATGGTATTTACTGTGAAGTGTCTGGAATAATTGGCATTTTGTGGGTTCTAGGTCTGTGGTATCCATTTTGAATTTGCAATGTAGCCATAGATCTTTCTCAAGATCATGTTGAAGGTATTTTTGGCCTGCATTTTATGGTGAGGCCATTATCTTAGAGATAAGTTTTAAAGATAGGTAATGTTTTTTGGGGACACCAGGTCTGCACTTGCAATTTCTGGAATGTTCTTTAATTTTTTTATTTGTTTATTTATTTTTATCATTACTATTATTGTTATTATTATTATCATTATTATTATTATTATTATTATTATTATTATTATTATTATTATTATAATTAAGGAGGGATAGTCAAAATGCATTGACTGTGTTGTGTCTCTCCTCAATTTTGATGCTGAGATTGTGGTAATGTTAACTAAATACTTTTTTTTTCCTCTTCCTGAATTCTATTAAGCATGCAATACCAGTTCCCTTTACTCGCTTCAGCTATAGCAGGTCATCCAGTGTCTCGCAGAAGTTCATCAGAAGCAGTGAATGTTGTTTATATGAATTTATTTAATGACTGATTTACCCCCAAACACCAGGTTCCATGTACTGTCTCACTTTCCCAGGACTAGACCCCCAAATATTTGTACCTTCAAGAAATAATCACAGATATTCTTTCCTTCTTTGCTAGTACTATGTCAGCTGGCTGGTGTATTTATATATTAGCATTTTCTCCAGGGGCTTTTCCTCCATCAGCTGCCGTGGGTAGGCCCAACACCCCACCCCCCCTTCACTTCTGTTTCAATAGATGTTACTCGGGTGTTTGAGGGAGCCCAGGACACCTCTCTCAGTGAGCCTGGTGTGCTTTCAATTTGAAACTTGCCGGCAGAATCGGAAAACATTCTCAAAAGTATACCAGTGTCTGGGGGTTGATTATACAAAATGATCACATATTATACCTGAGGATGCAACTGTTACTACAGTGGCCTTTCATTTATGTTTTATGAATTTTTAATGAACTTCATGCATTGTTGTCTTATTTATAATTTTTATGTTATTTACATTTGACCATGCATTTTATGCTACCAAAGTGAAAAATTTAAGCCAAACAGAAATCCTGCTTTTTGATACTATAGAGGCATAATCTGTGGAACACTTATGCACTCAAAAGAATTGTTTGATAAAGCAATTATTTGTGTAGTATTGTAGAATAGAGTATTTATTAACTAAACTAGACAAAATGTATTTGAGATAATGTTTTGTTACTGCATACAGTTTATGGTTTACTGTACATTAAGGTTATGATCTTCATTTTTATCTGGTGTGAAGCAGTGTTATCCTTTCTTTTCTTTTCTTTTATATCTCAAAACAGAATATATAAGGTTATTGTTAATGAAATGTTCTCTGTTGCGTAATATGTTTAGTGTGGGCTGTAGATGGAAATGCTGTACATTTGACACTGGAGAATCTTTTTTTTTTTTTTTTTTGTTCTTCTTCTTTCTTTCTTTTTCTTTCTTTCTTTTTCTTTCTTTCTTTCTTTCTTTCTTTCTTTCTTTCTTTCTTTCTTTCTTTCTTTTTTCTTTCTTTCTTTCTTTCTTTCTTTCTTTCTTTCTTTCTTTCTTTCTTTCTTTCTTTCTTTCTTTTCTTTTCTTTTCTTTTCTTTCTTTTCTTTTCTTTTCTTTTAGTGTGTTAACTTTGCTCGTTCATTAATGTTCATATGTAACTTTGGGATAATGCTTTACAATGAATGTTTAGGTAAGATCACCATTTCTCATGTCAGCTGAAGATATTTTTAGATATTTTTATAGAGGGTACATGAAGTAAATTTGATCCTTCAAAACGTAGTTGCTAAGCAAACCATTAACGAATTAGGTGGATGCATCTTTTGCGTGTAATGATAATGCACAGTTAAAGAGTGGAAAAAAATTAAACAAATATGAAAAAGGAAACTAAAAGTTTAAAAGTATTTGAAAAAGATGAAAGATAATTGAAAAGAGATTATAATTGGGAAAATGGCACGTCTTGTTAGCCAAGTGGGAACTGGTAAAAGAGCACAGGTTTCACGAGAGCAACAATTGCGGTAGCAATCAAACCTGCAACATATCCTGTTGTTCACACACCTGTTTAAGGACCCTAGATTAGGTGAAGTCCGACAATGTAGTACAGTACTGCATTGGGTTATCGTACTGGGCTTTGCAGCCAGTGAGGCTTCACCGTCGGCAGAAGGCTGATGTGTGAAGTCTTCTCTGACCAGTTGAGATTCCTAGTTGTAATCTGAGCTGCAGTTCTATGCTTATCTAGTCAATCAGTTGACCCTCTCCTTTTGTATGTTGTCTTCATTGTTAGACATCATATTGAGTGTTTATGTAATATATACATTATATATATAAATTATGCATATTTGTTTTTTTCTTTTTTCTTTTTCAATCTTTAGTAATTATCACTTGGTTTGCCAAAAGGAAAATGAAAAGAGAAAAGAGGGAAATCCCGTCTGTGGTGGGCTGTGGTAGGCGTTTAAGAATGTACTTTACTAAAAGCATACTGTATGTTGATCAGTGAAATTTTTTTCTTTTTCTTTTTTATATTATGGAGAGAGAGAGAGAGTATTGTTGCTTTTTTTTGGAATACTCTTCAATATATATTTGATGTTTAGAGTAGAAATTCTTTTCAACCTCATATTTGTTGCTATGATTATGAGCATTTAGAAAATCCTATTATGTAATAACATGTTGTGATCTTTTCCAAATAACTATATCCTAATTTAAGGAATTACAAAAACTTTTTTTTTAAGAATTATATTATACCTGTTGTTGAACTGTATAAGATGCATATTAGTATATTTTGTTGAATTTATTGCATTCAAATTATTCAGATTTCTTGAGACATGATGCACTTCTCTCCTTTTGGATTTCCTGTACTCACCCATAAGAACACTAGTAGAAATATGCAACCCAAATATCCAGGGGTATGTACCATGGATAGACAAGTAGACATTAAATTATTTTCAATATTATTAAGTGTGTTTTTTTTCTTTCCTGATCCTCGATAATGTCATAGTGATCCCTTAAACAAGTTTGCGAGAGAATAAATAAGTTTGAAGGTGTTTTTTTTTTTTTTTTTTTTCTGCCATGACTGAACACTGCAGCTACTACCCACTCCTCAATGCCTACTAGTACATTATCCACTCAAGTTGAGACTCAGTCCCCAGGAGACATTCCTACTCTCCCAAATTCAACTTCATCATGTCTACCCTCACACCCTTCAATCACCTCATCTTCCCATATCACTTCCTTTATATATATAAATGTGTGTGTGTATGTATATATTGTATACATGTGTATGTATATGTATGTGTTTATTTATATATATATATATATATATATATATATATATATATATATATTATAATATATATATATATATATAATATATATATATATATATATATACATGTATATATATGTATATATATTATATATGTATATATATATATATATATATATATATATATATATATATATATATGTATATATTATATATATGTATATATATATATATATATATATGTATATATGTATATATATATATATGTATATATATATTTA